CTTCAACAAAAAGACGGTACACACACAATAATCCACACAACTTCTCAGAGAATTGGTTTAGGCAGTGGAAGCTAAGAATGGGGATGAGATTCTAAATGAGTGCTTTCAAATTCAAGTTTTTGAGGCTTTTATTCATTATTTTGGGAGGGTTGCGCTAAACTTATTCTTGGCGAAGGTTGGGATTCTTTGCTATTTTCTGAGAGTGTGTTCATGTAAGGACAACTTGCAACATTGTCATAAAAGTTCTGAAGGTTCTTGGGAGCAAGTTCTTTGGTGCTGGGCTCTCGGTAAGCCCAAGCACCGGTTTCAGTGATGCAGGACGTGTTATTAATGATTTATAATCATTTACCAACGCGTCTCCTTCAGTCTCCAACAAATAGAAAAGCTCAATTTTTCAAAACACAACAAAATTTAGGAAAACTTATTCGATCTTTCTAGAAATTTGGGAACAGTGTCCACATCTCAAGACATTTTCCGGCTGTCGGTGCATTTTTTTAAAATTGAAACTGACCTAAAGTCGAATCGTCCGTATATCGAAGTCCCACTGAACCGTGAAGATTAAAAGTGATGAAGTGTCTTTACTTTTTTTACGTCAAAATCCAGGAAAAAAAAAAGTAGTCAAAAGTTAAACGCTGCATATATCCTGCACTAGAACTAAACCACCTTGAATCCCGGTCGTTATAATAAAGTCAGCAGCTCGTCCAAGCTTCGGTAAAACTCATCCCTGATGGGCTGTGATTAGAGCAAAGAAAGGCAGTTGATCTCATCAAGCGTAATGAAAAGTGACCTGATTGCTGAACGGTTTATTTTTGTTTATACAAGCGTATGAAGCTTAGTGGGTTTGTTTCTTATGCGCCATTACTTGGCGAGAACGACGACCAGCAACGTCGAGGAGATTTAAGATTTTCTGCGCATCAACAGCCCACGGACACTTACTCAGGACTTGAGGAGCCATAAAAACTGATTCACATAAATCTGGATGACGAGACATGAACGGATGAGAGAGAGAAGCATAAAAATATTGCCGACATAACGATGGCACCGATTTGTTCCGAGGACACAATCGCTGCGTGCAAATGCCGAAAGCTTCGATTACCCAAACTTTGTCTGAGTTCCGGAGTTCCCAAAGACTTATGAAACACAAAACGACTGTGCCAAATACCAGAAGGGGGGGGGGGGAAATAATTCCAAATTGCTCTCGGTAACTCTGCAAATTCCGCAAAGAATCCCTAAAAACATCAATGGCGATATCCTCTATTAGTTTGAACGCGTGCTCATCAGCAGCGACTCATGGGGTCACAAATGACGTGGGCATCACGCGTCGGGTCGGCGCGAAGCGAGTCCTTTGTTGACGTTGGTCAAATAATTTTACTGTCAGTCGAACCGACGTAACATTTGCTTCCTGCCACCCAAAGGGCTTCCTTTTTCCCTCTCGGCCGTTTCCTTTGCAAACAATTCGTCAGCATTGACTGTCAACATGTCAAGCAAGCTGGAAGAATGAGTTTGACGAGCAAAGATGTTCCAGGTAAACATATTTCCGAGTATTGTTGGCGCTTCTGTCTCTAACGCATTTTCGAATGTGACTTCCACGTGCTGAATCATTCGCGAGAATAAATGATACAACTAAAAAAACACCATCAGGATTTCCACACGTGAAGGCCCAGAATATGAGTCAACTTATTTCGAACGACCAAAATCGTGAACGGTTCAAGCCATCTCGGTGGAAAAAGAAACATGAAAACCCGCCAAATGGAAATAAACGGTAATTACAAAATACAGTACTGCAGTACCTCCCGAAAAAAACGTCCAATCTTACGGTTCTAGGGACAGGTGAATCGCAGACCAAAAAAAAGAAAACACTCGAAATATGTCCGTGTGATCTTCAACGGCGTTTAGGGATTCCTGTGAGTGCTTGAATATTTTGGAATAATTCGGGAACAGCGTGTCACACAAAACGATTCTTCTACCCCAAGTGATACTATAGGTAGTGCAGTATTATATTATTTCGAAAAATTTTCGACGCTCTTTTTTCACAGGTTGGCAATACGAGAAAAAGGATTCTGTTGGTGTCACACGGCTGCTTTTTCTTACTACAGTATTTCCTATTCTTACGGTATTCGCTCAATCCCTCACGAGGGGAGTCTTTCTTTTTTTTTAGTTCCATTGGTAAGCTGGAAAATTATAATTGATTCATTCCGGAAAATACGAAAACGAAACAGTAACTCCTGTAAGACATGGTGTTCGATCTTGAGTTATTCGAGTTCTAAATCGTCGTAAACTCGGTATTTTATTCAGGATGAACATGCCTGGTTTCTCACACTATTCTACATGTTTCGCTCGCTATTCGCATATCACGTCACATGATGAATTATTCTTGAATTTCTTTAAAATGAATTCCTTTTAAAATTTTCAAGAGAAGCAGGAAAATGAATCATTTTTCACGCAATATTCACAATTCCCGAACAATGTTAGGAAATCTTCATTCGTCGGAAGAGCTCGAAAAATAATGCCATAGTTCAACTATAGCGCCAACAGTACAACAGAAGTCGGATAAATCCATTTATTACCCGCACGTGAGTTCTTAATGACACATGTTGTATCGAAATGTTCTACCATTCCACCAACAATTGGTCAAACATAGAAGTGAATCATGAATCAAAAGAATCGCCGTCCCGACTCAGGAATGCGTTTCATTACCTATAGCGCTACAGGAGACAATTGTTTCCAGACATTAGGTCGACGAGAAAGGAAATAAAAACACGCCAGTTGGACGTACATTTGTGACGTGAACATTTCTTGAGCGTCAGACGAAAAACCGTCACGGTTATTTTTTTTTTCGGGTCTCAAATAACAGTTACCCGGAGGAATTCCAAATCAATAGGAATTTCCACAGAAGAAGGTCAATGGTTTTACTACAGACCCCGGCAATCTCGACGTCAATATTCATAACATTCTGGACATCACTTGACCGCCCGACGAGCAATATAAATCAAGACCGATAACCCTTTCGAAAGCAAATCCCTCGAACTTGGACTCCGACCAAGTGTCCATAACGTCGGTCGTCCCACAAATTTCCCCAGGTATGATGGGCTTCTCCAAAGCTCTGCTATAGTCACAAGCACACACATCAGACACACAAATTGTGATTAAAGAAAGACACGAAGTGGAATACTGTAGTTATTCTGACGATACACGATGACGACATTATTCTTCATCTTGAAGGAACTCTCTCAGCCTCGTCAGCGTATTAAATCGAGAAGAAGACCAAAAATTTGTCTTCGCCAATTTCTCGGGACTGTCTCAAGAGTCCACAAAAATGATTTAAAAAATATATTTTCGACTCCCAATTGTCGCCAAGGATCACCAGAAGTTTTTGAGAGAATTTGTGAACATCTGATTCAATATTCGGTACACAGCATAAACTCACTCTGATGCTAATAATCCGTGTTTGGACGCATTAACGGGAGAAATCCCTAATTCAATGATAACAAAAACGAAATTCAAGAATAAACTGTTTGATAGCGCAACGCTATGCGAATATCACAGCTAAAAAAAAAATCTCGCTATAACCATAAGCAGTTGGGACAAGAGAACATCCGTTACAATGAGATATTCGTTATCGAACTATTTAAATGACATTATTGCTATTCGGCATAGGGATCTGGAAAATAAGTTCTATGTGACCAATTATTCTTCATAACGAGCTTATTTATACTGTATTCGTGGTGGTCAAATCTGAATTTTCTTGAAATTTTCAAGAAACTAGGGACTATTGTATCCAGGTGTCACACAATAAACGAATAAACCGAATCGAGTCCAAAATTCTCCCCTTATTTGGCAAAACTATGCTCTTCATCCTCATTCATCGGCCGTGCTTTGAATATGCTCATAGAAAATACTGCACGGTGTTATTGAAGATTACCATGATGATGAATAATTGCATATCTCCCTGTAATAAATGGTGAACCCAATGACTGGGTGTGTTTTGGGTAAAAGTCGCACGAGACTTTTGAGAAATCCATCGCACGAATAATGCGTTCAAGGCATAAAAAAAAAGAAGAAAGAAAAAACTTTCATCGAAAGACAACTTCCTAAGGCAACGGGCCGGACGTAAGTCTTTCGACCTGCTACATAAAATTCGACGGGGGAAAAATCTCTTTCGGAAGAGCAGTACAAATTGCTGGACATTTAACCCCGCACTCCAAGAGGCAATGAAATTTGCATAAAACAGTCCTCAGCTTTAATAGCGCTATAGTTACATGGACCCGCTGTAGAGTGAAACGACGGTTTTATGACATTCCCTCTCAGCCATCTCCTCTGGGTTACCGCGATATTGCCTCGTCGCATATATATGCAGTATACTTGATATGCACGCGCAAGACATTGAGCGGATGGAGCATTCATTCAGGTGCGGTGCCATGAGGGAAAAATGTCGACCATAAAAAGCCTCGGCGTCACAAGTAGAGCCCCGGTAGATACGCGGCGGTATTTTCGTTTGCACAACTTTTCTTTCCGGCGAAATGCGGAGAACGATTACACTTGACGATTTTCTACGAGATAACAACTTTGCGATTACTGCAGGATCATTCGGCGGTGCCTCAAGAGCCCCCACGTGGACGCTGAACGCTCGCCGACACGGGGAGAAACACCACAATTTGAGCTTGCGGCATTTTCAAGGGATTTAAAGAATTGACCTTTTTTAGCGGGGATATATACATCACAGGTACAATACGTTTCTTGATTTTCTTTTCAAGCGCGAATCAACGACGTTTTCAGCCAAGTACAGCAGGTACTATTTTATAAGGGTATTCATGAAATGTATTGCATTGATCCAAAATTAAAAAAAATAAAATAAAGATTTATGCTTGTTGACCTGAAAACAAATCATCGTTCAATAAATACTTGCATTCACGAGGTTTACCACAAATTTTAACACATATCTCATGTTCATGAATTTACAAATCAAAAGCATTATTTTTTTTAATGATTTTCCATGTTCATCATTCGTCGAACGAGGTAAAGAATTCCCGGAGATCAGCAGCAATTCCCTGCAATACTCGTAAATGCGTACCTTGAGCAACCTCGGTCATTTCTCTGGACAAAAAAAAAATTAGCATAATTCCTGCTTCCGTCGAATCAAATTGTCGTGGAACCCAGATAACCTGTCCCCGAATAACCGTGCATTGGATTTCCGTGCCCCGCGGGCTAAATACTGCAAAAATGAGACATCATACTCGCCGCTCGAGTCACTCTTGACTTTCCAAGAGGACTCGACTCGTCGAGCTCCCGAATTCCTTTCGATTCTTCAGATGTCTCATAACCTTGTTAACTTATTGAGGGCTCTATGAAAATGGAGTCGCACGTGAGATCCGAGGAATTCGTCACAAAAATTCATCATGTTGCGGTCGATGTTTTTGTTTTTCTTCCCGAGATTCGTGACTTCATGAAAGACGATAAGTTTACCTGTTACCGAGATCATTATCCAAAATACATTCCCTTCTACTTCATCTCCATTGAGAGCCTTCCTCAGGGGCTACATATTGCCCCTCATTCGATAATTTCCGAGCAACTTTTCCTCAATTCCGCTCCAAAAATCAATCTTCGCTTTTTGAAACAATTAAATCCCGAAGCGGCGATGAAAATATAAAACCCTCAAACAATGGTAGAATGTAGGGACACGCGGATCTAACGACAGTTAAGCGGGTGACAGACAGTAACTAATTCCTCAACACGTCATTTAAGCCTAAAATTTGGAACGGATTGAGAATCTTTACAAAGAAGCGTTTGGGACCTCCTTATCTTCGTTATAAACAAAAATCCTTTAGAGCAAAATAAAAATAACATCGGAACAATTGGAACAGGAACCAGAAAAAGTCGTTTCAAGCAATGATTCGTTGCACCGAAATTCTACTTTAAATTTCAATTTTTCATCCTCCAGATACATTGATATACTGTACTTTATACTACAGTATGGCAAATTCTTGCGAAAACTATTAGAACAAATGGTTCAGTATAAAAAAAAGTTCTCCCCAAGTCCTGGCAGCAGAACCCCCATATACTAAAGAGAGTACATGTTATAATAATATAATTATACAGTATCAGAAACTTCCCAATACCAGACCCGTTAACTTTTTTGAGGAATCTTCAACAGATTCTTTAGGCATAAATTACCTGACTATGGCAGACATAGTCTGACATTTCCAATTGCAAATGCTGTGACGGACTGGTTCTTATTGCATGGATTGAAGCTGTAATCAATGATAATCATGCATCCAAGTGGTTCCACACGGAATTCTCCCACAATGAAGAGACTGGTGCATCTCATGGGATGCATGATTGAAGCTTTTTGTTTTAGGTAATCACTCAGTTGTGGGATTTCTTTTTAAATTCAGTTTTTTGCTTTTAATTTTCACTTTTCTACGGGGCCCCACAAAAAATACCCCGGGAATACACCAGAAAATAAATTGGTCTTTTTTGAAGTGTGGAACTATGAGTTTTTTCTTTGTCAGCATTTCAACATCAATTTTCTGTTCAATTTTTTGGTTCACACTGTGAAAGATACAAACAAGTCAAAGAATATTTCAGTCACAAAAAAGCACATCAAGACACATCAAGAGTTTCAAGACACACATCAAGAGTTTCAAGACACATCAAATACATCATATGCAAAGAAGTATTTCACATTCCAAGGGTCTGCACCCACTGAAAGGAAACCTCAGACTGTACACAGAAGGGTTAGAATGGGGGGTTTTTATTGCTCCCAGAGGCTGTGCTAAAACTAGTTCAAGATATATTTTTTTTCTTACAGGAAGGAAAGCTCCAACTTGGAGGCCTTGGGAAAAAATCCCAAAGAATGGGAAAACAAGTTTTAATTTATTTTATACAAAGAGTCAGGCAGGATTTCCCTTTCTTTCTTTTTAACAATGGAAGATTCCTGGAGATTCCCCAAGAATCTGGGGGAGAGAAAAAAAAATTTTGCACGTGCGTTGGCAAGAGTTGCTTCGGGACCAGTCCCGTAACATGGCGCGACTTCACACTCAGTTTTTTTTTTTTTTTCAAACGAACAAAATATCTGAGGATGCCAGAAAAGCAAACTCTTATTGATCATTGGCAGGTCTGATGTGAACATTTTTTTTTTTCAATCATTATTTTGAAAATCGCATTGAAAAAATAATTAGGAAAAAAAGTATCCTACAGTCCCCAAAAGTTTGCTGTAAACCGATTTACCTTCACGGTATTATTGTTTTCCCATCTGCAACATCCTCCTCCCTCACATGATGTTCAAGGTTACCCAAATTCCCACAACGACAGTCGACATCATGCAGCTATAGTACAGTATACAGTATATAGTATAGGTCTTGGTGCCACCGAAATCGTCAACTCACCGCAACCCCGCATTTGTCAACAGCGACAGTCGCCAGTCCGGTCTTCCGCTGTCGGCCCGGAAGCTCGTCGTAGGCATCCGTGCCTCGACGCTCGGCTCGAGTCGGATCGTCGTCGCTGACGTCGCGGCTGCCGCCAACAGCGACCTGCTGCTGCGTGTCGACATCCCCGTCAGCACTCATGTCCCCTTGCACCGCGCGTGTCCCGGCTGATGGCCACAAACGTGTTTGACGGAATCAAACACGGGTCTCGCGATATATCACACAGAAAAAGGACCTGGTTTTCTTCCGAAAGACAACACGCGTACTTATAAATAGAGGGGACATGTTGGGAACAATGAGTGAACACGATTGCGGGTCCTTCCCCCCAACTGTCGGTGTTTTTTGTTATCTGTCGTCAGTCACGCATTCTCTGATTCCTCCGCCCCCACCACGACGACACACACAATGCCAAGTCGGCACAATAAAGAGACGATAGACTTTGAGAAAAGCCGAATCCGAGGAAGTTCCTTTGTGCGACGAGATCATAGGGAAGTGATGCTATAGCTGCATAAGACTGGTCGAGAATTGCTTTCAAACGTCAACTTATGTTCGTCATTTACAATGAAGGTTGTTTTTTTTCAAATTCTACAAGAACAATACAGATATATTCCTTAAACGATGCATGGGCGCATTTGCAATCCCGGAAAGAGAAAGAAAAACGTCCTTCATCTGACCCTCACATCACAGGAATTACTCAAACCCATATATCCGAGCTATTCAATGTACATTCCGACGGAAATATAGGACTTTCACTTCAAATTTCAATGAGAAAATGGCAAAAGTCTCATGCTTCAAAATATCTCGCTTTTTTTGGGTCAAGTCTCAGAGTGAACATACTGTATCAATAAGAAGCGCTGATTGATCAGTACCGAGATTATCATCTACTTCAGCCATCTCTCGTTCACCAGTCGAGATTGCGAGGCAATCCACGCCATCAAAAGCACCACATACACACATCACATTAACGACTGACAGCGAAACATTCATTTCATTTTCTTCCATATGTCTTCAAGATCTAGGTCTTAATCTTGAAACTTTTTTCCACCTTGTTCATATTGTCTCGTATAGCTTTTCGTCAGACCGCTTCGAAATACATCGAATGTGCACGCGTAACAGGCATACAACAAATTAATTTATTCCTCGCAGGAATACAATGTAATCCCTAAAAGATAAAATCTCTGTTATGAAATTGTATTTTTCGATCTTGCAAGTGCTTATATACTCTACAGGACGAGCAAAGTTTATATAGCCAAGGCACACGCCTCGATTTTATGAGGTTTTGTCCAGCGTACAAGATGAAATATCCTCCGTCACATATTCACATGGAGCCATTGCCACTCAGAAAACGGAGGGTCAGCGAAAGTTCAGACTTAGTTTTACGAATGATGCTAAGCTAAATTCACCGAGTAAAATCGAATAAATTCGTCATACGCGCCGTGCAAACTGGCCAGGATTCAGAACGAACAGTGGAACCAAAAAAAAAAGTAGGATTAACCTCCGCATGTCAAGGGACTCTCGTCTCATCCATCCACCAAATGCAGATTTCCAACAGCAGCATCCTCAAAAACTAATTCGTTCCATCGTTTGATATTCCAAGGGGGGGGGGGGGGGAAAAAGGGAAAAAGAGGACAATGTTTTTCATCTCTATATACAGCATGCGATTCAAGCACCGCAGCAGTCAGTCCTTTCAACGACGACATTCGTTCTGGTCATCACGTACGGGAGAACCGGACTCGTGCATTCAGAAGCAGAACAACCCCAGAAATGACCAGGCCTTGAGGGAAAAGTAAATATGAAAACCGTCTCGACACTGATTCATCACACGTACATGCACCTCCTTTCTCGTAATTCCTGCTTACGGAAATGGATGAGGAGGAAGAAGAAGAAAAGAAGGCCAAGACCAACAATCCGAAGACAGATGACAAAACTCCAGGTTAGGAAGTTGCGTTTTTCTTCCTCGGGATTTATGTCCGTCGCGCAAATGAACCTAGCGAGAGAGAGAGAGAGAGAGGTAAGGAGTAAGAGAAAACAAAACCAAAAAACAAAACAAAAAGGTTTCGCCCTCAGGCCATGTGCATGCGACGTTTGCCCTCGAGGCGCAACCCGACACACACACACAAAAAATGACAAAATGTATTCGTCGAGGACCCGGCGATGCACGGGTTCTTCCATTGCACCACAATCGCGCGCCTGCGTAAATAAATGAACAAAAAAGTGTCTTGTTGAACGCGTGAATAAATAATAGCGAGAGGTCCTCGTCGTTGAATGGCCAACATTTACATCAGACAACGGGAGGGACACAAAACCAGAGGTTTTCAAAAGCCTCGGTGTCCAAACTACAGTATAATACACGTACGCCACTCGATCGTTCCAACACTCCATGTACACACACCCAACCTTTCATTGCTCACACGGAATGAGAGAAATACTCCTATACTGCTCCACTTTCAATTATCATGCTAATACACGGTTTAGTACGTGCACAGCGCGTGAAATCCACGACTCCAATGCAAATTTTCCAACTTTTTAATTATCGACATGCCTCTGAACACGCGATCGCAGTTGAGTAGCTTTCACAAAACAACACTGCAGATTTCTTTAACGACTTTCTTAAATTTTTGGGGATAATACGGTAACACTACCGAGCACAAAACACTGCATGAACTCAAGTATGAAAAGAAAAGGTGTGGTGTCACGGCCCCAAGAATCCACCATGTTCCCTGCTAAACCAAAGTATCTTCAGTGGTCTGGGTGAGCAGTGTGACCAGCAGGTCCACAGCACCCATACCTTGCATTTGGTTTTTCTATAAGCCTCATTAAAGGAGAGTTTTGCAAAGCCCAGAGAGTTTGAGGAAGTCGTCATGTCATGATTTCCTCGATTTTATGTTTTTCTGCCAATTTTGAGCCAAGGAGAAAAAGCACGTGTTGTCTTTCTTACCAAGAGAAATCATCTCCCTCAAAAATCAGCAAGTTGCCAGCCAGAATTTCATCTGGCCACATTGTTGATTGGCCACCAAAACGATACAGCCTACCATTTTTTATGGTTCTGATTTCAAGAGAACTCACGATTGTGAATAAAATAATGGCAAAGTTCAATTTTCAAATGCTCATGTTTACTAATGGGTATCATTAACTGCAGAAAGTTGGACAGTACTTAGAATGAAAGTGGGATTCGGCAGAAGTAGATTAAAACAGTGGAAGGCTACAGCGTGGGTGGGGTAAAATAAAATCCAGTTGGGACACAACATACGGACACCAAGACCTATGGACAGTTCGACTTAGGGACATTTGATAACTAAAAAATGCTGTCACGAAATCTCGACGACTCCATTGGCTTTTTATAACCATTTCCGAAAGAATAGAATTTTTATCGTGAATTCTCAAAGAATCTGGAGCTTTCCATTTTCAAAAAATTAAGAAGAAATTTCATTCAACAATTCAGCATGATCCAAAACAGGCTAATTTTTTGCTCATATTTTCACAGATATTCCCATGATTTAGCCCAGTATAGGAAGACTTCTTGGTTTGTTGCTTTTCGGGCTTAGTTTCTTCTGATTTGCTATTTTCTAAATCTTGAAGTTGAGACACATTAATTTATGCAATTGAATTTCGGAGACTTACTCCTAATTTTTGATCAACAGATGAGCCAATTGAATATGTTCCCATCGAAGTCATGGAAAACTTGATCTGACATGCGGACATTGTGACATACACACCGGGTCCACGCACTAATTACGTCCGTATCTCGGAGTCCCATTTTATTAATGTACTGTACTGTATTTTTCCTTCTTAATTCATCTTCTGAGTTTTTTCTTTTTTCAATTGAACGAGGTGACACGCGCTCCTCGCATCACCTTTCAGTGAACCCAATTAAGGGTCGTTTCCACGCGTCCATTTGGTCAACTGACTCCGTAAAAAAATTATTTTATTCCAAGCAGTGAATTCGGGCATGAGTAATACTTTGCATATCACTCGGATAGTTGGAATAAGACGAAAACCCCGGGATGAACGGAAACGACAGCAGAGAACGAAACTCCCCTGTATCCCGACAGATATCCTCGCCCTCGCGTTTTCAATTCTTCTTTCCCAATCCCCGTGCTTAAGCGACTTACACATCCCGACGTGTGTCTACAGCTCATCTGTGCTCTGAAATGCCGTACAACATTGGAACCCAACGATAGACACGGCTGGAATAACTTGGTTTCCAATTCCAAGAGAAATGCATCAACATTGTCGACTCGCATCTGATAACATATAGAACCCAGCAGCGGCGGGAACAGCAGTAAACGTATGAGGTTTTTTAAAAAAAACATGCTGTCGAAGTCAAGTCTTCTGTTTTGGACAACATACATACATACAGACACACAGACAGTCACTCGCTTTTTGCATCGCGAGAACCATTTATTCACTCCCGGATAACCGGACACGAGAGGGTGTGAAGCCCGAATTATAAAAGCCGAGAAGCGCCCGGTGAATATAGGCGAAAGAAGCATTGTTTGATACGGGGGCATCGTTATAGCCAACGTTGCAGAGCACGGGCCGTTCCTCGGCTACGAAATTTATGGAAACAGCTTCAACCCACTTCAACACGTGTTCCCCCCACGGCAATGCTTCACCATTCAAACCAATCACAATCCCATGCAGAAGCCGTCTGCCACAAATGGAAGACTGCAGGGGTGGAGAAATGAGCAAGATTTGGCCAAGAAACAACAATCGGCCTCGTCCCAACAACCAGCAGCAATGAAACCGATGACTTCAACGCCAACAAGAAGATGACTTCAACGATGACAACAACAACAACAACGTGGAAACCATAACACGCCATTTGGCGATTTTGACGGACGAACTTGAATCCACAAAAGCTGCATTAGTAGAGAAGGAAATCGAAATTTTTCTTTTCCGGAGAAATGAATGATGAAAGGAAAAGGATTGGACGGAACTCCCCCTATCCACGCACCAAAATACAAAATTTCCGAGAATCGCTCAATCTTTGGAATTCGGGTGATTTCAAAGAATTCCGCCGTATTTTTCTTTTCGTTCCTCGGCTGAACTCGAAAAAATAATTTCTGCTCATGGTGGGGAGTTTTGGTAAAATCAGAACAACCCTTTCAAAATCAAAATCGACGCAATCTTTCAACTCAAATTTCCGAAATTGAACAATTTTAAAACACTGTAACATATCAAATATTGTATTATAACCTAAAGAAGATTCTAGACAAACGAGTCTCGTGCTTCGTTTATGCAGTCCAGCTTCACTAC